TTTCCCGCTTCTCTCCTCAAGCTGTCATCTCACAGGAAAAAGATCTTTTATCCTTGCTGAGAATCTGGGATTAACATTAATGATGCGTTCACTGGCAAGTGCATCCCTCATTATTCATCATCCTGTGCTAAAATCTTTCAGGGTAGAATGGGCAGGCAAGGATTCCCTGGGATACTCGGTACAGAGGGAGTTAAGGTGAAAAAAAACCCACTTTTATTTCTGATTTTTTTTTATTGCTTTTTTGGCAAAATACATTGAAGAACATTAAATTCATTATTCTAATCTTTTAAGTAATTGCATATTTCTCTCTGCAGGGAGAGCCCGGCATCACTGGAAATGTTGGACCCATGGGAGAGAGAGTAAGAAACCCTTGGCGGCTTGGCTGCTTTTTGCCAATTCATTAATTCAAACATCTATTAATTCATCCATTCAACATGTTTCAGGGCTTGGTGGGCTTCATTGGACCTGTGGGAGAGGCGGGACTGGCAGGAGAGAAGGTAATAATTTGCGGGGGTTTTTCCCATGAATTTATTTCAATAGTCTTTACAAGATCACGTTGAAGAGAAAACACTGAACTTGTGCAATTTTAGGGAGATCGAGGGGAGATGGGCCTTCCTGGACCACCTGGAGAAAAGGGACCAACGGTAAGACAGAATGACAGCTAGCGTGTGGAGGGCTTTCACACTGAGAAAGAATGACGTTTGAGTCTGTTAAAACGTGACCTCAAGATTACATTTCCAAAGAAGGTATCTTGTCTTTGTTAAAAATCCTAAGAAATGGTCATTTTAGATTAAACTGTGTCTGTTATTCCCATGGGAATATAGTGCTGTGAGGGATTAAGCACACATGTACCACAAGAATATGACAGAATATGTTGGTTTTTTTCCTCAAAGCACAGCTCAGTCGTCACAGTTCAGGCAGCTTTAAACCCTGTATTCTAAGCAGTGGTTTGGCAATTGACAAGAGGGCTTTAACTGGGGAACAGAGCTTGTAATATTCATTCAAACAAAGGTGGAAATAATTCCAGTGAATCCGTTGTGATATTTTACCTCTGTGATGGTATTAATGGTCAGAAAAGTGCTGACAGTCCTGCTGGAAATTTTTCAAAAGAAAACACAAAAATAGAAAGAGGATATTGTTTTTTTTCGGACATCGCTTGATAATTTCTCTACCGTCTGCAGGACCTCTGAGTAATTCCCTCAGTGTTGTGCACTTTCTTTTACCCCAGGGGTGTCAAACATACAGACCGCAGGCCAGAACAGGCCCACCAAAGGAATCCAGTCTGAACCAATGTAGGATTTTGCAGAGTTTAAACGTTATTACAGTAGCCTTTCTTTATAATGACAGTGGAGTGAGACAGTCACTGGGGAAATGGCCGGTTTATTCATTGTCAGTGATTGTAGTCCATTATATTAAAAGAAAGGGTAACATTTAGAGATGTTTTGTTTTTTTTATAGTTTGTTATGCAATGGTTTCACTGGCCTGGCACGCTTGAGATCACATTGGTCTGTATGTGGCCCAGGAACTAAAATTAGTCTGACATCTCTGCTCAGTGGTTAGTACTGTCGCCTCAGGTCCTAAGTTCAAAATGCCATCGAAAATATCACAAGATAAACTCTCCCAAAGGGATTTGACTGAGGTGCCGGCTTAGAGCTCCACACAGTGGCTGCACGCTGCTCTGAATACTGAGGATGCGTTGAGCGTTGAGAGGAAGATCAATAAAGGATAACTTAGCTTAACCTGCTCTTTCAAACAGAGTTCGTCGACTCTTTATCGTGTAGGGTCTTTTACGGACTTGTCTAATGTATGCGACTTGCCGGAGTGGATAAGAATTTAGTCATCATTGTTGCTCAAGGAGAGAAGGTTTTCCTGCTGGCTGACAGCCAGTTAGATTTCTCAGAGGACTTCACCACACACACACATACTCACTCACAAGGAAGTTCTGTGTTGGCCAGCTACAAAACAGAAACAGACCCTCTGGAAAAGTCTGCATCATACAATGTGAGGGGAGCTGACCAGCAGACATCTATAGTCACTAACAGAGTGCTCATACTGCAGGCTTCTTTGTTTTATTCCTGCATGACATCAGAACCGCCTACTGTGCTATAAGTTTGTGTATTGGATAGATTTTTATTGCACTCGGCTGTCTTGAGTAGTTCTGACTGAAGTACTCCCCATTATATAGTTATGCTTTTACAAATGGCCTGGCCAAAAACGAGCTACTATAAAAAAAAAAAAATAAGAGAGAGAGAAAAGCAGCCAAAAGTAGTATGTTTTCCTACATAAAATCATCACCTCATGCTGTCTATTTTCTTTCTGTTCCGCTTTCTCTTTCATCGTTACATAAAACGTATTTTCCAGCGGACAGAGCTTTTCTCCAGATGTATGTTTGAACTACCAATGGAAAGATGGACAATTTATTGCCTCAAACACATCTCAGTGCAATTTGGAGAATGAGTTTGGCCTTTATGTCAACACCTTTCTGCTTAAATAAACTTGCTTTGTAATAGGTGAAAGTGTCAGAATATCATCATTTTGTGTTGTTTTTGTGTTTTTGCCTGATGTGTATCAGTTGTAATCGATGTACTGAGTTTATGTTTATCTATGTTTGCACACCAGGGTCACCCGGGGGGACCAGGTGAGGCCGGACCTACTGGACCACAAGGAAGACCAGTAAGTCACCATACTTTTGCATATTTTGCACTTTCTTTTTACTCATTCATAGTTGTATATGATCCTCTCTAATCATAGTGATGACAGTGAGTGGTTACTAACAATAGTAAGTGTCTGTTTCATAGACATTTGAAATATTAATCAATTAACTTTTTCTTATTTTTTTTTAAAGTATTTTAATTTCATTCATTCGTAGATTATATTTTAAGTAATTTTAGTTACCCACATTCTGTAGGTTTCTCTGAGCATTATAAAACCTGGCAGCCTCCCGCCGAATGTGCATTACCCTCCTGTCAGTCAAAAGCCCAACACCTATAACCAATTAGAAGCTTCCCCTGCCCCCCGTTCTTTGCCGTGGCCGGCTTTGACAGAGCGGGCCAATCATTGGTTGAAAGCAGGGGCCACTGAGCCACCAAAACAAATATAAATACGGGGGGTTTGGGGTGCAGCAGGACAGGATTCCAGAGCAGACCCTTTAATTGATGTGAGTGACAGATCTAACAACAAACCCTATAGTGTGTTCCCGAGGTCAGGCTGCCCTGCAAGGTCAACAGCCAGGGGGCTCTGTGGTCTGTCAGTGTAAACCTTTGTTTTATCTCTGTCCCTCCCCCTTGTTTTCTCTTTATCCCCCATTTTCCTTTGTTTATCAGGGCCCTCCTGGAGCGACTGGGCCAACTGGTACCAGAGGGCCTAAAGGCTTGCGGGTAAGTCGAAAGGTTCACGTGAGTTTAGTTGGGGGGTTTTTTCTTTGCAGCTTAGGTGTTGACTGGCGTTCTGCAGTCACTGTGTCACAGATCCCAGCCTTGAGAACAGATCATAGACTTGGCAGAAGAGTGTGTATATACACCATTTTCTGTTTTGCATATCCTCTGCTGTGTGTTTATAGGAGATCTGTGCTACTGCTTTCAGAGCTGTTTGGTGAATAAGGTGAAGTGATGTGTGGCGGGATCTGAGCTGATGTTATAGATGTTTTAAAGGACGCGGGTGCTTCTGCACACATATGCAGTTTCAAAGTTGAAGAATTAATGTTTCAGCCTTTTTTGGGGGGGGGGGGCGAACTCATTGTGAGCACTAGAAGAGCTCTGGTGATGTAAACCAAATGCTCTTTTCTTCATTCCATAGAAATGGAACAATAACTGGTGGTTATGGGAACGAGTCATTGTTAGTCCAACATCACTTCTGTTGTGGTTGGAAAATGGGATCTGGCTTTTGTTGCTCATCTGGAAGCTGCTTGCAGATAAATATAGTAAACTGGGGAAGCAGGGTTTATGTTAATGATTAACTAAGATTGGATTGAATTATTCTGCTTTAATAGCAATCTGACACATCACTCACAAATGCCACTGCTGAGGCTTTATAACACGACTCGTGACTAAGGGAGTAATTCCCATCCATCCATCCATCTTCATCCGCTTTATCCGAGGCCGGGTCGCGGGGGCAACAGCCTAAGCAAAGAGGCCCAGACCTCCCTCTCCCCAGCCACCTCCTCCAAGGCGTTCCCAGGCCAGCCAAGAGATATAATCTCTCCAGCGTGTCCTGGGTCTGCCCCAGGGCCTCCTCCCGGTGGGACATACCTGGAACACCTCACCGGTCACTACGCCCCTACCCATAGGTGAGGGTAGGGGCGTAGATCGACCGGTAAATTGAGAGCTTCGCTTTTACACTCAGCTCCCTCTTCACCACGATGGACCGGTCTAGGTGCATTACTGCAGCTGCAGCCCCAATCCGTCTGTTGATCTCCGGCTCCCTTCTCCCATCACTCGCGAACAAGACCCCGAGATACGTGAAGTCCTCCACTTGGGGCAGGAACTCATCCCCGACCCGGAGTGGGCACTCCACCCTTTTCCGGCTGAGAACCATGGCCTCAGATTTGGAGGTGCTGATCCTCATTCCCGCTGCTTCACACTCGGCTGCGAACCGTTCCAGTGCGAGCTGGAGGCCTTCACCCGATGAAGCCAACAGAACCACATCATCCGCAAAAATCAGAGATGAGATTCTGAGGCCACCAAAGCGAAAGCCCTCCGCCACTTGGCTGCGCCTAGAAATCCTGTCCATAAAAATTATGAACAGAACCGGAGACAAAGGGCAGCCCTGGCGGAGCCCATCACCCACCGGGAACGAGTCCGACTTATTGCCGGCAATGCGAACCAAGCTCTTACAACGGTTGTATAGGGATAGAATGGGGAGTAATTCCCCTGTAATTAAATAGAAATTCAATGGATTTTATTTGAAATTACACTAAAAACACTAGAATAAGTAACAATATTTAAGTACTGCATAAGCAATTATTAGTAGTGCGCAATTTCATGCTAAGTTTGCAGAAAAAGAAACAATATTTCATCATCTTACATCATGAACCCGCTCTACTTATCACGGTGCAGGCCACATTATGGAGTGGATAATCTTGCCTTTTTACATCGCTTTATTTGATATTCATTATGTTGATGTGTATGATGGATGTTGTCTTATTCTATAATTCCATTAAAATGATGGAGCAAAGTCTAACTTAATTTTTGTTCTTTCGCAATTACTGTGTAAGCAAAACCTTCGAGCTTCCGAGCAGTTTGCAGGAAAGGAGCGTCTCCTTTCCTGCAAACTACATGGAAGTTAAACCACTTCATAATACATATAGTGTGCTTACAATGTAAGGTAGGGAAATATTGTTTGTTTTTCCACAAAATTACCACGAAATGACTTATGCAGTGCATGAAGTTACTTTCCATGAATAATTTCCTTTTCTATGAAATTCCTGAATTTACTTAAAACTATTCCTGCACTACCTAAAATTACTTACCGATTACTTAAATTTACTGTTTCTTTGTCTCCTTAAAAACCTACTTGTTGCCCTCCTATTCTTTCCCCCTTGTTCGCCCCTTTTCTCCATTTTTAAAAAAATCTCATTATTAGATTTTTGATATATTTTTTATTTTTTGAAACCTCGTGTAAATACATTAGCATTATAAATTGCACTTGTGAGGTTAATACTTATAAAGTGATAGGAGCAGCGAGTTAGATTATTTTACACTGCTTAGTACTCTAGAGGAAGTTAGAGCACCTGTGTTTTTTTTTCTCTGTTACGACCTGTTTAACACTTCCCCAGTGTTGTGGCAACAAACTCTATGCAAATAGACTTCAGATAATTAGCAGACACAGATAATGCCAATAACAACACTGCGATTTCTTCAATTTCAGCGTTGCGGGAACAATAAAAAACACATAAAACTCCAGAGTGCTTTCTTGAAAGACGATAACCAGGCAAACAGGGACTAAGACCTGAAATAGTATCTGGATAAATACCATCAAGAGAAATTTCAATCCTCAATAATTGATGTTGCTCATAAAATGTGACATCTGGAACACCATGAAGCAAATAAATTCTTGAAGTCCCACTTAAACATCTGCTTTCAGGTGCAATAATAATGAATTCTGAGTAAGATAATGAGGACAATTTCTATAATTATGTTTACGGTGAGTTTTACTTCACAGTTGTGAACGTACCCTCAGTTTTAGCCTGTTTTTAGTTTGGGAACTTTTTACTGCTTTGGGTCCAATGAGCCAGCTGGAAAGTGGCGTAAAAAAGGGTTGAGCTTCTTCATCTGAAGAATCTATGGGAGATGGGCCTGGCCACGCTCTAAAATCTCAAGTTGTGTTTTCAGTTATTACTAATGTCAGCAGCTTCCACTGCCAATAAATCTGCCTGCTGCTACATGACTTAGTACGCTGGGTCTTCCAAGACTAGAAACCTGAGCGTAGCAAGCCAGGAGTTACTCTCTCACAGACTCTGTTAGCAGCTGTGATCTTAAGTGTGCGACCGCAGACGCTCATATCTCACCGCCGCTGTCTAAATGTGCACAAGCTCAGTCCCAGCAACAGTTTTTAAAATAAAAAGCTTTTAGTGTATTCAGCATTCACCACGTTTAATGAAGCAAGTAAACACAAACTGATTGGCACGATGAAGTCCGAGCTGACACAAGCAATTTAATGTTCCCGTCGGACAGAAGAAAATGAAGTAAGGCTGTTTTGTAACAGCTCTGTATCAAAGACTTTGTCACGCTTGGATAAAGCATCTTAGTGTGAAATGAGACTGCATACAACTACCATTTGAACAGCATATGTGTTTTAGATTTTCCCTACTTGGATTGAAGCACGAGGCCTTGTGAACTGTGACATCTGGCTCTGCAGAGACTGTTTTCTGACATGCATATATTGTGGGGGGGAAAAAGAGGGAGATAAAACTGCACGCCAACATCAGCCTGTAGGGCGTTAGTGCCACTGCTGTCGTTTTCTGTGTCTGTTTTTATTTTCTAGTTTAAAAAAAGAAGAAAAACTCCAGTAAAACTTGCGGATGTCAGCCACAAGGAGTCACCCAATCACGTTTTGTGTCTAATAACTCCTCATGACTTCTAATCACTAGAAATCCTCTGCTAATGTTTTCCATACTGAAGAGTCATCTCATCATCCCTCCCTCTTGGCATCATCCAAGACGGCCAGTTCATATAGATGCTGACTCTCTTGATGTGGTTAATCAAGTTTTAGGCATAAATATGTTTTCTTTGCCTAGATAGAATAAAATATTTTCCGTACATGTCAGCTAATTAGTCTATGTAAACGTAACCAGTGGGTAGCAGGTACCCCAGACAGGAATGTTAATGAGCGGTGCTCATCCAGCTCCATGTATAATAGGCTTATAGCACTTCAGCTAGCGTTGTTCTCCATGGGCCAAACTCCCACTGTGCCCAGTCATCAATCACTCTCACAACAAGGCCTCCTTTGTGGGGCTGTCATGTTATAGGTTTTTTAATTTCCACTCTAAAATATTTCAATTATCCTGAGAAAGGGGCAGTTAAACGCTCACTCTTTATAGCCAGCGAGATCCGATAGATCGGACTGACCCGTGTGGTGTCACACAGTCACAGTCAGTGAGCATCTTCTCGATGTTAGTGAGCCAGTATCTTCCACAGCGCTGACAACAGATATGGTTTGGATGCAGGTGCAGAGCAGATGGACTGCACTGGTATGCTGCCTGGTTCCTATTTATTTTCACTACTCACAGGACTAGCAGGCCTTTTAGTGGATTTACAATGATTATTTGACAGGTGGATACAAGTAAAGTACAGAGACAGCTGTTCTAAAAATGTGTGTGTTTAAGTGTGAGCATATGTGCATGCCCTGACTTGTAATTGAAATAGTTTTACATGAAGCCTCTGTGTACATACATTAACTACAAGCACACAGATATATTTATTTTTGATATTTCCCTGATAAATGCAGGACACTGTAAGTGTTGGTGTCAAAGTGTACAGAGATGTTTGTTTACAGTATGTTGTGGCTTTCTGGCAGTATTACAGTGACCTCTGTTGGTGGAGTGACAGCTGTCTTGTGTTTCAGGGAGCGAAAGGGCCTGACGGTCCAGCTGGAGAGATTGGATTAGAGGGCAAGAAGGTAAGGACGCTGGGATATACTTTTATCAAATCACGCAGACACAATTCAGAAAAAAAGCATATAAGAGAACAAAATTGCTAAATAAGCAACGATCAGCACAAAAAATGGCTACACATCTTCTTTTTTCCATTCTGAAACCTGGAAATATGAAATAAACTGATGTGTCTGGACAGTTGCTAGCGCTCATCCTTCTTCCTCTCTGCAGGGTCCTGATGGTCCTCCAGGAAAATTAGGTTTCCCTGGACCGCAGGTAAAGCTCCTGCGGTACCTTTCTGATTTTCCACTTCTTCCTCTCATGTACTTTTTTGGTGCTTATGTTCCTCCTGAGGAGTGAGACATCAGCATAATTTAGAGGACATACATGATACCGACAGTCTGGAGACCCACAGTCTGTGGCCTAGATTTACATATATGACAACTTATTGTTCATTTTATTTGATTTTTTTTTTGTTTGTTTTGAGACTTTGAGACTTACTGTATCTGAGCAGCTGTTGCAGTACCTTGTAGTGATCTTTATTTATAGAGATGGTTGTAAATTCAACATCATAGGAATCAGTGTAATAGATTTCACAAAGATACACTTGTTTGTATGGATAGACAGGCAAATAACATATCGTATGTGTTATTACATCATAAGTTTATAAATATGCACTGTAGAACCGTTTTGTTTTAATTCTTTTTTTATGTCTTTCCAGGGAAAGCAAGGAGAACCAGGAGAAACCGGACCTAAAGGATTTTCTGTAAGTTCATTATAATCATACATGTGAATGTTGAACAAATACAACTGAGGAAGGTTAGATGAAGTCCTGAAACTCCACTCTCTCTATTTTATAGTTGCTGATGTCATTTTCTGAATATACTGTATCTGACATCACACCTGAAATGCAGTGCCATTCTTTTGATTTTTAAATGGGATTTTTCAATTTTCAGGGTATCCAGGGGCCTTCTGGATCTCCAGGGGACAAGGGAATAGCGGGCGAGCCAGTATGAACCTCTTCCATCTTCTCAAATATGTCTCTTGTATTCCTTCATCATCTTTATAACTTTCCTGTTTTGATATCTCCAACCATCCACAGTCTCTTTCCTTCCTTTTCAGTCTTTTGCCGTATTTTCATTGCAGCTCATCAAACTTCCTCTCCCTTCTTCTGAGAGTTTTAATATTAATAATTCTTTTTGGTAGAGTAGTTCACTCTGCCCAGCCCTGTTAGCTCCCATAAGCCAGGAGCTAGTTTATGAGACATTTTTGAGTGCCTATTAAAAATATATTCGCCTGTATTAAATGTTTCCTCTGGCGCAGCCAGAGAATTGTCTCATTCTTTGCACATCTGTTCTGTAGTGACAAAAAACAAGATTGCTCTTTGAAAAAGAAACTCCGCATTTATAGAAGCGCTAAACTGCTGAACTTGCAGGGAAGTAGACGTGATTGCTATTGCTATAATAGATCCAGTCTTTACTTTAAAAGATTTGCTCTCCTTCTTGTGGCTTTGTTTTATTGAACAGCGGGACAGGCAGAGCACAAATAGAGGCTCAGAAATGTGTCTGTTTGCATGCATACTGACTTTCCCGCAGCAGCACTGGAGACCCCATCCCTCTTTGTTTTCATTAATATGACAGAGTTACAGGCTGATATTCTCCTGTTTCCTGTTTAAGTAGAAAATTGATCACTAACATAATTTCTCTTGCTGTATACTTCACAGAGCAGAGAAAAATCGTATTTTCCATTCATTCTTCACAATTATGTTTCTTGTGCTGCAATCTTGTAGCTAGAAGGGCTGCAATGTACCCTGACATTATTTATGAAGTTTTTGTGCCAAAGCATCAGCATTTAAGAAGCTGGATCAGTGACACAATTAGTCTTTGCATTCAGAGCCAAACTGGGTACTGCAAGCGTGCTGATTTATCAGCCACTGGCACACTCACAGTAAACATCAGCCAGAGGTTCCTTTTTCTTTTTCTTTCTGTGCACATGACAATCTAGTTGATTTTAATTAGGCTGAAACATCTCTATTTCTCTTGTCATTTAGGGACCGGCAGGGCCACGTGGGACTATCGGACCTTTGGGAGAGACTGGTCAAAAGGTGAGAGACCTCGCTTACAGACAAGCGTGGATTCATATTCCACATGCAAAAGGTCACGCTATTTATTTGCATGCACAAAAAGGGTGTTGTGAAAACTAAATGAATAAATATGTGGCATCTGTTCCTCATCCTACCCCAGTAGATCAATAACGCTCTTTAATTTAACCAATCTGTCCGATTTAATCAGTCAGCTACATAACAAAGGGGTCTTTTTTTCCCCCTCTCTCTCGCCTCTCTCTTTTGCCAATACATACACAAAAGTTGAGATATTATTCATATGAAATGTCAAAGAGTCATCTGCTGTTTTCAAGGGTCCTCCAGGAAAAGTGGGTGAACCAGGACTGTCAGGGGAGCCAGGGGAGAAGGTGAGGGAATAATATTGTTGTAGTTTTAGCTGGGCGTGCTCTATGTTTTTACTCTGTAGTGGTAAACAGGATATCAAAGTTTAAGAGCTATCTGTGTTTATGTGTCAGGGAGCCATTGGACTTCCTGGGAATATCGGAGAGCAGGGACTAATAGGACAGCGGGTATGTTTATCTGAATTATGCTGTACAGTCTTCTTTGTTCTTGTTTCTTTCATAAGCATAATATATTT